CACACACACACATAGAACCTACTGGCCCATTCAGTGCTGCTCTTACATGAGTTTAGGGTTGACTACTTGAGATTGGATAACCTACCAGGGGGCTTCATTCGCATTCCTGGAGAAGTCAAATTCTTTCTCTCTCTCTCTCTCTCTCTCTCTCTCTCTCTCTCTCTCTCTCTCTCCACTGATTGCATGTAGCTCTTCATCTTGAAGTGGGGCCTTGTGAAATTTCCTCTATCTGCATTGGCATGTCAATTAGTGTTGTCATTATGCATGTCTTTTTTAGGCAACCTTATTTTTCAGATTCCATGGCTACAGCATCCTTGTCATGTCTAGAAGACGCCATCTACCAGAAAGTATCCTGGTCCTCTGGCTCTCACAATCTTTTCACCCCCTCTTCCACGATGTTCCCTGAGCCTTAGGTGTAGGGGTTGCATTGACGATGAACCGACTGGGCTAGATAGCCCATGGTCAAATTCTCTGCATTTTGACCAGTTATGGATCTCTGTAACAACCTTTGTCTCCTGCAAAAAGAAGCTTCTTTGGTGAGGGATGAGAGCTACACTTATCTGTTGGTGTAAGGATAAGTATTTATAATATAGTTAGAATTTATATTGGTTTAGGAAAAAGGTAGTAATAGATTCTTCTCTGGGGTCTGTGACTTCTCCAGACACAGGCAACTAGCCTTTGTTATTTTTAATGTAATATTTTTATTAATTAAGAATTTCATACATGAATATAATGTTTTTAATATAGTCATCCTTCACTCCCCAACTTCCCCAACTCATTGTCTAATGTTCTTTTTATTTTTTACCTCCAGAAGTTCAATGAGGTGCTTTACATTTCTTTGGGCACAGGTGAAGGTATACTGGGGCTGTGAAGAGTAACAGAAAGATGATGGAAAACCTCTTGGTGCCTGGGACTACGTAGGAAAGGTCTGTCAGGGCCTGGGTGTCCAGGACCATGTGTACAGACAAGACCTTAGCTGGTCATCAAGGGAGGTAGAAAGACTATTATTAAGAATCAGTCTTTCCAAGACTAGAAACTGCAAATGACAGAAACTTCCTCGGTCCCCATCATAAGTCTAACAGAGGCAAAGACACTGCCATACACAACTTGGGACCTCAGGGGAGAGAGTTGTGGAGGATGCAACTGCTGAGAGAAGGTTGAAACTGCTGCCCAAGATCACAGGAGGGAACCATAGCTCCTGGTCACAGGAGAGACTGAATCTCTGGCTCTACTGTGCATGGGCTCATAGCTGTAATGCAGGCCTGGCCACTCATTGGTATGCACTGCCACCACCTCACTGATGTTGTTCTCGGCCAGGCACAGGGCCTTTTGAATAGTGACCAGTCTTAGAAGCCTGTGCAGAGCAGCGTGGTCATGTACTGTTCCTCCTCCTATTCCATGGCCCTGCCTCAGCACTAGTTTGAGTTAATGCAGCCCTCTAGCCTTCATTATTTGATGGCAACTGACCTCTTAGTTTCTGGCTTGATCACCACTGGTGACCTCTGTTGCCATTCACTTTGGCCACTGCACCAAGAAATTGTTCTTTGCTGGGGAAAACAAAACAAAACCTGCCTCTAACAATTTTCAATCATCGATTTGAAATATTTCTTTTTCTTCTATTCTTCCTTCTTTTGATCTTTTAAAAAAATTGTGGCATGATACACATAACACAAAAATTACCATCTTAACTATATTTAAGGACATAGTTGAGTGGCAACAGTCTTTCATGTAGTTACCTGACCAGCCATGATGTGGCACCTAGTTCTTTGGCCTGAGTTGTCAGAGTTCCTCATTTACTCCCTCTCCCCACTCACTGAATGTCGCCAGCCCACGCTTGCCTGAACTCTAGACGTTTGCTCATGTGTTTCCTTCTATATCCACTCCACTCACCTCCCAACAGGGACTTGCCTAAACCATCCTGACATCTTGCCTTCAAATGCTAAAGAGCCACCTCCTTCTGGAAGCTTTTTATAACTCTCTCAGTCAAGGTGATGCCTCTTCTTGGTCCTCAGAGACCCAGAGCCGTTATACATGTCTCCATTAATTTGCATGTTACATGCTCTACACAGTAAATCCAGGGAGACCTGGGTTTGGCACAGCCCCATTCACAGGTGATTCCTTCCCACATGCCTATATATGGATCCTGGAACACAGTAAAAGCATTCTATACATGTGTGGAATATTTTAAATTCAGAAACGTGGTTTAACATGCTGAAAATAAACTTTCTTTGCCATTTGTCCAAATGTTATTTCCAAGTGCACCTACGTTTACTAGGGAAAGCACATTAGTGAATACATTTTTTAAGACTTCAATATAATAGAGACCTTTCTTCCTTGTGTAGCTGACTTTTCTTAAGTAAATGTTTCCATTCTGAGTCAACAAGTTTAGACAGCTCTCCCGTGTGCAGTCATAACGCTTGTCTATGAAACAGGCATGGGAAAATGAAGGCTCCTAAGCTTACTTCATAAGCCTTTCTCTTATTCCTACTATCTACTATCCTGCAAGTGGGCATTAAGGGTGCATGATAATTAGCTTTGCATCACTGGGACAAAACACCCGACATAAAAACTCAGAAGGAAGAAAGATTTATTTTGGCTCAGTTTCAGAGGTTTAAGTCCACAGCCGGCTGGCTCTGTGATCATAGCTGAGGAGGTTGCTAACAAAGACCGGGCGGTGGCGGGGGCGGGGAGAGAGAAACTTCAAGACTTACCCCTATGACCTACCCTATCTCTAAATAAGCCCATCCAGCTATGAACTCATCAATGAATTAATGTATTGATGACTTTTATGTCCTCATGATTCAATCACCTCTAGGTAGCCACACCGTCTGGGACCAAGCCTTCAGCACACAAACACTCTTTGATGAGGGCATTTCGTATTGGGGGGAAAAAAAAAGTGTGTAAAGATCCAAACACTTCTCATGGGCAATGGCAGCATTTGAGCTTGGGCCCGGCTGTGTTGACATTAGGGCCCGGCTGTGCACTGAGAAGGACACGGGTCTCTGGGTTCATCCACATCAGTATTCTAAGTGTTTGAGTAAACTACTTTAACTGACTCTATCAGCACAGGTATTTGTTATTTTGAACTTTCAAGTGATTTTTTAAAAATTGCCTGTTAAGACTGCAATGAATAATTTTATAATGGGTTAGGCCTTAGTTAAATGTCAAACAGTGTACAGAAAGAAGGTTCTATTAGATGCTACCTACATTTGTCCAACACAATGTTCTGGTTTTAGTTCAGTGTTTCTTTAGTTACTGCAGAGTGGGAGAACTTCCCGGCTTCAGCTTCATAGAATTCATTGTAGCCCATAATTCTGTGACTTAAACAAGTGATGTGAATGTTGAAAACAATAGCAAAATTTTCTTTTATCTAAAAATTTTAAGATTATAAAGTATAACATTGTTTTTAAAACAATATGGTCTGCAGGTGGGGACTATTCACATACCTTCACACATCATCTCATTTAAAGATACAAACACTTTACAGATGTGAATCACCATGGGCTCTTGACAAGTGTTTTCTATTACTGTAAAAAGTACCCGAGATAAGCAACTTTTAAGGAGGAAAAGTTTATCATGAGCTCATGGTTTCAGATCATGGTTGACTGGCCCCACGGGTTTGGACTCTATGGCAAGGCAGTATACCATGGATAGGTGGGGGTGAGGCAAAACTGTTCACCTGATGATAGTTAAGGAAGCAAAGTGGAGGAGGATTGGCTCCACGGGTTTGGACTCTATGGCAAGGCAGTATACCATGGATAGGTGGGGGCGAGGCAAAACTGTTCACCTGATGATAGTTAAGGAAGCAAAGTGGAGGAGGATCAGGGATCAATGTGTGGACACACCCCTAATGAACTAAATTTCTCCATCTAGGCCACATCTCTTAATGGTCCCCCCATCTCCCAATGACTTCACAGGCTGGTGACCAGGTCTGTAACCTCTGGACCTTTAGGGGCACTATTCCAGCCCACAGCAATAATGACTGAGATCAGCCTCCAAGGTGCATTCTTCAAATGGTTCTGCAATAGCCACTCACAGTCCAAGACCCTTCCAGGGCAGGGATTAGTAAGTTAGTTTTTGTGGTGCTCAGCTCCAGTTCGGTTACGTGTACATTGTTTTTTAACTTGAGAGCCTTTCCCGTTCAGATCTTTCAACCACAGAGTATTATGGTTCTCTTTGGAACCTGCTTGGCCATGCAATTCAAGAACATGACCCTTGGGCCAGTAGATGATTTAGCTGGTAAAGGCACTCCGTGCCAGACCTGATGACCATGCCCATATAGTTAGAACTGTCTTCTGAAACTTGTCCTGTGACCTCCACATGTGGGCACCGTACACAAAACAAATGTAAGAGGAGGAGAAAGGAGGAAGAAGGAAGGAAAGAGGAAGGAGGAGGAAAGAGGAGGAAAGATCTTTGGACTCAGGCAGGCTCAGAGCTTGGCCAATGAACCAGCAGGCTTTTCTGCACCCCAGGTTCCCCTGGCTGGAAACCCAATCAACACCACTCAATTCTTTACATCTGCTGGGGTTAAATGGCTATCATTCTAGCACGTGGCCCAGCACACAATTCTACCGTGGATGAATTTTACTCCTACCTTACTTGGGGAGTACATATTTACAATCTTATTCCCATTTGCCTTGGAAATGAAAAACTTTTAGGTAAGAATCTCAATCCCAAGGGCCCAAGAGGTTAACCTGCCTAGGGGTACAAAGCCAGCACTGGGATTCCAAGTCCAGCTCTTACCCTGAGGCCACCTCCCACATAATAAACCAAGCCCTCTGGTCTAAACTGGACTCAAAGCCGCTTGCTCTAGTAGAAAGTGAACTGCCTCCTTCAGGCCAAGGGTGGCACCAGGCTTTGAGGGAAACCAGCCAGCCACAGTGCCTGAGGCCCGGGCTAAGCATCACAGAGATGCCCCACCTCTTCTCACTTGAAAGCAACTCCAACCAGAAGCCTCGTCCGCAGGCCCCCGCCCTCCTAACGTCACGGCCACTAGGTGCAGTGCCCCCTAGGGGCCTCTGTTCCTCCCACTAGGAAGAGCTTGGTCCTTCCCGCCTCTGGCCCGTTACTGGCTAGCCTGGCTCTCTGTGTCGCCTGCCTCGCCACCCTCCGGAGGAAGTTGGTGCAATCGCATCTCCACGCCTCGGGAGGACCTGCCGCCCCGCGCTCCCGCAGCACCATGAGCGCTCGCCTGCCTCTCGTGCTGCGCCAGCTCCGCCGCCCGCAGCGGTTCCCGGGCCCGCCGCGCCGCCTCCGTGTGCTTGGTCGCTCCAGCAGCAGCGGCGGAGGTGGTGACCCCGAGGGACTGCGCGGGCAGCGGTCGCTGCGGGATGACCAGGCCTTCAGCAGCCCTGGCCTCGGCAGCCCGGAGGCCCCCACAAAGGACTCCATCGTCAGGTCAGTCCCGGGGGGGTGTCGGGGGGGGGGCTAAAGAGGACGCGCGCGCAGGTCATCAGCCAGGGACCAGGGGATGGGACCGGACACCGGCGCTCTCGGTCGCTGGAGGACCCGGAGAACCATTTGGCAGAGTGCTTGGTGCCTACTTGCTAGGGACACCCAGGGATTGGCCAGGAGGGCCCGGGGGGTGGGGGGTGGCACCGGGGGATCGGGTACCCGGCCGGCGAGCTTTGCACGGACCGCACGCCCCGCTCCACGTGCTCCGCCCGCTTCGGGCTCTGATGCAACTGCGCGGGGCGGGGCACCGACAGGAAAGGGGCGGGGCGGGAGCGCGGCGGGCCGGGTGGCTCTGCAGCCCTCTGCGTACTGGCTTGGGACCGCTGGGAGCCTGAGTCATCTCCCGCCAAAGTGAAGACATAGTGGGTCCCCAGCGAAATCCGGTCGCGGTGGCCGGTCCCCACCATCGTTGACCACACAGCAGAATCCCCAGCGCCACTGCGCTTCGAAAAGCGCGATCCTCACCTCCATTGGTGATCTATGCGGGCGCGGTGTCATCGTCCCCTCCCCCTGGTCCTCAGCCCTCTGCCCCTGCGTCAGAGGGACCGGGAAGACCTGAGCAGGGCTTTCCTGGGGCCGTTAGAGGGACAGCGGTACCAAGGGACCCGCTGACCACCTGGAGGTGGCAGGAAAGCTTTTTCTGGTCTTGCTCCCAACTAGGATTGAGCCCGGGTTGGAGGATGCCGCTTGTCTAGGCACGCTGTCCCTCCATTCACTTCCTCCGGCTTTCTTCCAGCTTTTAAGTCATTATCTGTCTCTGTCCTCTCTCGCTCTCTTAAGTGGTGCCTTTTCGAAGCTCTTCAGGATGAGGCTAAAGGGACTGTTTGTTCATTCTGAACGTTACTTTGAAAGAGACGTGCGCTCATCACACAGGGACAAGACCAAGCTTCGGGATGCAATAAGCAAGAGGAGTTTTTATTAAGAAATCACAGACGTCTGAGGGCGCACAGCCTTACCCTGCAAAGGTTAAGACTTGCGCGCCGGCTCATGTTGGGGAGGGTCTTTTATAGGGCAGAAGCAAATTTACAGAAGCAGATGCACAGTTATTGGTTAGTTCAAAAAGAGACATACGTGTATTCCTTGGAATTCAGGGTGACCGGGGCTCCATGGCCATTTCTTTCTTATCGGGTTTTACAAGGTTCACACTCCCCTTCACCTTCCTGCCTAGCCACAGATGTCCCTCTGATGTTCTTTGGTCTTTTTGCGATAGGGTCTCCCTGTAGCCCCAGCTGTCCTAGAAATCACTATGAAGACCAGGCTGACCTTGAACTCACAGAGATTCGCCTGCCTCTGGCTCACAAGTGCTGGGACTACAGGCGTGCGCCACCACGCCCGTCGGCTCTTTCGATTTTAACTAGCACAGAGCTGAGGGTCATTTTAGTGACTTTGGCTCTGAAGTCAGCCCGGAGGTGAAATGCAAAGCACCCTGTCTTCCTGGCTTAAGGTCTATAGCATTTATTGCCTTTATTTGCTCTTTCGAGTTTAACTCGCCCGCCTGGCCTGGGTCCCTTCGTCACTGTTCTGGCCACAGGAGTACTCAGCAGATGGGAGATATTTGTGTCAATGAAATCAAGATCCCCTGGGGGAGTGTTGGGGGTTTAGCTCAGGGGTGGAGCTCTTGACTAGCGTTCATGAAGTCCTGAGTTTGAGCCGCAGCATCACAAGATCTCCTGGGGGCTTTATTTGTGCGTGTTCTACATTTTAAAGCCAAGACTGCCTTAGGGAGTGGTCACCAGGGGCTTTGAGATTAGTCCGCAGTGTGTACCCCAAACTCAATTCCCTTTGGAAAATGGGAGTGTATCAGTACCTACTAAAGAGGCTATGGAAACACTAAATGAGGATGCACATACAGAATGCCTAGCCCCGGGACTGCTGCCTACGGTCCTCAACAAATGTAGTAGTTACTATTATTATTAAAATCCTCCAAACTAAACTTTGCAAACTTTGTGTTATGGGCAAGGTAGTAAGCACTTGAGTGGGCCAGGAAGCAAAATTAAAAATGGCATATAGGTACTTTTTGAGCCAGGAGGAACAAATTTCCACAAATTTTTTGATAAAATGCAACATTTTATTTATGGATGCTGAAAATTTCACGTAGTTTTCACATACTATGAAATGTTTTTTTAATTTTATAACTTTAAAAATGTACAAGCCCGGACTGGGGAGATGGCTTTGTTGGTAAAGCACTTGTTGGGCACGCATGAGGAATTGAGTTGGATTTCCAATTTCATCAACACCCATGTGAAAAGCCAGGCATAACAGCATACTCTTTTAATCCCAGACCTGGGGGGAAAGGGACAGAGACAGGTGGATCTCTGGGGCTCAGTTGCTTGCCAGCTGGACAGAATCCATGAGCTTCAGGTCAGTGAGAGACCCTGTCTCAAAAAAGAAAGTGGATGGGGCTGGAGAATTGGGTCAGCAGTTAGGAACACTGACCATTCTTGCAAGACCCAGGTTCAAATCCTAGCACCCACATGGCAGCTAACAACTGTCTGTAACTGTAGTTCCAGGGGATCCAACAGCCTCTTCTGTCCTCCGCAGGCATTGCACGACACGGGTGCACTTATGTACATTCAGACAATACATGCACACATAAAATAAAGCTCAGTGGTTAAGAGCACTGACTGCTCTTGCAGAGGATGCGGGATCGATTCCCAGCACTGACATGGCGGCCACGAACCACCCTTAACTCCAGTTTCAGGGGAATCTGAAGAGCCTTCTTCTGACCTCCACAGCACTGCAAGACATGGGTGCACTCACATACATGCAGGCAACACACTCATATACATAAAATAAAAATAATAAATAAAATATTGCCCAAAAAAAGGGGGGGTGTGGTGGCGCACACCTTTAATCCCAGGACTTGGGAGGCAGAGGGAAGGTGATCTCTGTGAGTTCAAGGCCAGCCTGGTCTACATAGTGAGTTCCAGGCCAGCTGGGACTACAGGGAGACCCTGTCTCAAAACAAAACAAAATCAAATAGATGACTACTGAGACCAATACCCAAAACTGACCTGTAGTGTGCACACACCAACACACCCAAATACTCACACACACATGAACACATGCACACATGTAAATAAAATAAAAATGTAAAAACCATTCTTAGCTGGTGGACTGTAGTTTCCTAAGTCGGTTTCTAAACCAGAAGCAAGTGATGTATCCATGTCATTGCATCATAGAATTGTGGTTAAGAGTCAGACGCCTTTTTTTTTGCAACTTGGCCGTACTACTGGAGTGTGAAAGCTTGGATAAACTGTTGGTCTCAGCGTCTTCACCTGTAAAATGAAAACCAGGAAACCACAATGCCATTAACTTCATGAGGTAATTGGAAGCCTTATGCTGCCTTAGCAGTGCTAGAGTATACATCTTGAATAGCTCTGAACCTGGTGTTTGTCTTTCAGTTGGTTGTGTCTTCCATTGGCTGTTGACTTGGTGGTCATCACAACCTATTTGCCCCTGCCCACACCTGTGGAAACTTGGTCACGTGCATATTGTATCTTTCAATTGAGTTGTGTGTGTGCTTTACCACGTATCAGCCTTGCAGAAGGGGACTCAGAAAGTCGAGCAGTGATCTGGGACTAGATAGATGTTAAGGAGCTTAGGGTGGTATTTCTTGTTTCATTCCTGTGAGTAAAAGAGGCTAAAGGGTTAGCTTCCTGGGAAGCATCATGACCTGTTAGGTAATGCTGTGGCTAGATGACCGTATCTCACAATGTTTCAATCATTGTTAAGGTCATTTTGGGAAATATTGTGATTTCTAGTTGTTGTCTGCCAACCTTCCATTGACATCTGGTAGAATCCAGAAAGAACCAGCCTCAAAACTCGGGAGAGCAGCTGAGAGCAGTGAAAATCCAGTGCTACATTCTGACTGTAGATTGTTCCCCAGAGGCCATGTACTGAAATGAAGGCCCCGCCCACAGGGTGCTGCTTCTCCCTCCCCTCCCCCCACCTTTCCTCTCCTCTTCCCTCCCTTCCTGTCTGGCTCAGGGTATGAGTTATGCTCTGACACATACTCCAATGATAATAGGTTGTTGCCCTTGCCAGAAGCTGTCAGAATGCCTCCACGACTATGAGCCAAAAACATTTTCTCTTTATAAGCTAATTACCTCAGATATTTTTATTACAGTAATGGTACAAAACCACTGACAACAAAAATACAATGGCTTTTTTCAAAAAGTCAACTCATTCAGAAGCGTTAGATACTCACTTTGAAGTTTTAGAATACCTCAATCTATTGTTTGAATGACTTTATAGCAATTCCAGGTCTAAACAGTCTAAAAACTTCCATCAATACTTGTAAGTACAGATGTTTTGTAAAGAAAAGATTGTGCTGCCCTTCAACCAGCAGCAGTTTTTCTAGTGGTTCATAAAATAGTGATGCTTCTTTCCTCATCTGAGATTTGATATATCTAAGACCATCTAATTAATTCTCAAATTCAACTCATGCAAAAAGGGCCAGGATGTTTTAAGAAATGCCTGTCTGTCTGCTTTATGCCGCTACAGCAAAATAACACAGGTGTTAGCCAACAATAGACACTTATTTCTTGAATTTCAGGAGGTTGGAAAGTCCAGTGTCGAGGTCCTGGCATTTGGCAGGGGCCTTGCTGCAGGATAAAATGGCCGAAGGTGAAAGGGAAAAAGAGATGGGCATGTAAACCCATCAGTTCCATCATCCCAGGATAATCACACACATCCATTTCACCTCTTAAAGGTCCAATCTCAACACTTGCAGTGGGGGTTAAGTCTCCAGTGCATGAACTTTGAGGGACACATTTAAACCATAATGACGCCCAAAGTGCTACAGTACTTAGCTGTCTAGAGGAAAGGTAGGATGGTCCCCAGGGTGCCTGCTCCAGCTTTGGTCTTGTCACCTCCCAGCCAATGAGAGTAAAGGGGGCCAGGTTGTGGTGCTTAGTCTTACCCTACAGTCCTTGCCTCCTCCTACTGGCCAGTAAGTTAGTCACATGACCCCAGCCAGCTACAGGTAAGTGGTACTGGGAAATACAGGTGGTCATGTACAGCTAAAACTCAGAATCCTTCATTAAAAAAGAGGAAAGGGGACATGCAGTCCTTGGAAGTATCCGGAGGTGGTAACTTTACCATTGCTGTGGCTGTTATATGGAATCTCCACTGATCCCCGGTGCAGTAGATTATGAAACTTCCCTGCACTGGTTTTTACCTTGGACACGTTTCTCCCAACACTGGTGACTGTCTCAGGAGACTTCTGTAGAAATCATCAGTGTATTTTTTTTTTTTTCTCTTTATTGAGACAGGGTCTCCTTGTAGCCCCAGCTGTCCTGGAACTCACTATGTGGACCAGGCTGGCCTCAAACTCACAAAGATCTGCCTGCCTCTGCCTCCCAAGTGCTGGGATTAAAGGCATGCGCCACCACGCCCGGCCCCATCAGTGTATTTTTAAAAGGATCCTTCTTTTGCCTTTGGAAGAATTGAGAAGTGGAAATGTAGTGTTGTTAATGAATGGTCTTGTCATTCAGAGATGCTTACATGATAGTTTTCAATAGCTAGCCACAGGGAGGCTGAGGAATGTGGTCATTAGTGAAAAGCTTTGTGCTCAGCTCACAGGCTTATTGCAGCAGTTAGCCAGGGGAGATGCCTGAGCCTGTGGTGGTAGAGGCAGTAGATAGATTTATTGTAACTATCACTAATTGCAGGGTTAGAGTGATGAGGGCTTAAACTGTTAATCAGTTATCTTTAGAAATAGAATTCTGAGTTCTAGCTTCACATACAGCCTAGCTGTGGTCCACATTCTATTGTCCTTCTTAGAGGTTTTCTCCTCCAAGGGCATGGAAATGTCTGATTAGAAACATTTATCCTACTTTTTAGAAGTATCAGGCCTGGGAACTTGTTTTGTTTTCACTGAAGAAGTAACTCCAAGGTATAAAATGTGATACATGTGGGGAATTGTGGATGGGTGCACCAGCTAATTTTGTTTTATTAGGGATATTACTATAACATGGAGCCCCTTTACCTACCTGCATTATCTACCTGCCCATACCTCAGCTATGTTGTCTGATAACTGACTTTTTAACCTAGCAATAACTTCCCTGGTGAACTGTTGCTTTCTTTTTATTGAGGGTGGGCAAGACTCCAGAGGCTTCTGTTGTGAGCTTTTATGTTTAAGAGCCTGTTGCCATGAGTTAATACCTGACAGGAAGCAACTTACAGAGAAAGAGTTTCTTTTGGCTTATAGTTTAAGAGGAGTCCATCATGGTGGGGAAGGCATGGTGGTAGCATGGGGGAGTCACCTGGTTTGTTACCAAACTCCAGAAGTAGAGTAAGTAGGAAGTGATGCCAGGCTATAAAACTTCAAAACTTGCTCCTACTGACCCACTACCTCCAGCAAGGCTCCCTCTCTTAAAGATTCCAGAGCCATTCTAAACAGTGTCAGTAGCTAGGGACCAAGTGTTCAAACACATGAGCCTGTGGGGAATACTTCTATTCAAATCACAACAGATAGCTTTGGCCACAGGGGGAAACTATGTCTAGGGATAAGGAAAAGGTAAAGGTCCACTAGGCTCTACCTGTTTGACAAGGAAGCCAGGGCCCATAGAAAGATCCACTAGCAAACTAGAGGCCTGAGTGCCAGGCCTGGCTGTTTTTCAGTGCCTGTGTTCTAGAACCCCTGACACTTATTTAAAAAAACCCATCCCATGGGACTGGAGAGAAGGTTTAGCAGTTAAGAGCACTGGCTGTTCTTGCAGAGGATCTGGGTTCGATTCCCAGCACCCATGTCCATAACTCCAGTTCCAGGGAATCCAACACCCTCTTCAGACTTTTGTGGGCATTGCACAACATAGGTGCACTTACATAAAATAAAAATAATAAATAAAATATATTTTTTTAAAAAGACCCATTCCTGGCCCCAGAATTTCCCATCCCAGAATCTTGAACCGATCTTTCTTGGATAGCACCCTGATTCTTACCATGCTCCCCAGGGAATTCTTAGGCTGAGAAGTGCTTGGGTTCACACTTCGTTACCTCCCCAGACCAGGCAAAAATATGGACCCAGCCTGGTCCACAGTAGCAGCTCTGCCAGGCTGGGCAACAGTACAGCATAGGAGCTTTGTCACCCATCACTAAACAAGTCACTCTGTAAACCTTCCCATATGACTTCACGTATGTATCACAGTAATTCAGCTGCTTCCCTGAGAATTGATTTGCAAAATCATAAATATTTGCAAGCTGTGTGCACTTGCCTGGCTGCTGAGTCTGTTTTCTAGCCTCAGTGACGGTAGATCTTGGTGCAGTTGAGTTTCGAAACCTTTGTAGTCTTCTGAGCACCTTATTCTCTCATCTACCTGCTGCCCTTCCCTTACATTCATCGGCTACTGTATTAGTCACTTTTCTGTTGCTGTGATTGAAACGCTGACCCAAGCAATTTATAGAAGGAAGAGTTTATTTGAACTTATGGTTCCAGGGGAATTACAGTCCGTCATGGCAGGGAGGCAATGGTGGCTGGAGGTGGCTGGAGCAGGAGCAGCAGAAGCTAAGCTCTCACATCATCACACAGGCACAGGAAGCAAGAGAGCAACTGGAGATCCTGCAAGGCTTTCAGAGATTCTCTAAGCCCATGCCCAGTGACGTGCTTCCTCCAAGATAGCCACACCTTCTAAAACCTCCCAAAACAGCGCCATCATCTGGGGACAAAAGGTCCAAACACTTGGAGCCTATGGGGGACATTTTCATTCAAACCACCACAGCTACCATTCTGCAAACTGGGAGATGTCTTGTTCTTGCTAACTGATAACTGAGGGGATCTTAACTGGGACTAATTCTTCTTGCATTTGGGGGAAAGTTCTTAGGTGCATGTAAGAACCCGTGAGAGGCTGAAAATAGTATTTAAAGACAGACTGAGATGTAGCTCAGTGCTTACCTGGCATGTATGAGGCCCTGGGCTTAATACCCAGCTAGCACTGGGGTGGAAGGAGGAATATCTTAAACACCGAATTGGGTAGCACCTTGGATAAGCTTCTGGTCAGTTTATGAGAGAGAAAACCAAAAAGCAGACTGCTGGGGTCATGTGCCAGGTGGGACACTAAATAGAGACAGTAATGGCTTCCAAAATTATTTATCCAGAAGGTTCAAGTAAGAGACCCCCTCCCCACTTCCATTTGTATGGGTCTGCTCTGGATCTGGAGCCTCTCCTGTCCCAAGTATGAAGCAGAAGGCCCTGCTGGACTTGTGGGAGACTACATGCTGCTCCAACAGTAAGAAGCTGTCTTCAGCGGGGACCTCTGGAGCTACAGTTTGCTGTGCTTGCCACCTACCTTTCCCTCTCTCCCTCCTGTGTCCCTGTGTTCTTCTGTGAATGCTGGGAGGGAATTTAGCCCAAGGCACAGCCCTGTTTTCAGCCCTCTCCCAACCCTCTAGGAGTCAGTTCTCTCCTTCCACCCCATAGGTCCTGGGGATGGAACTCAGGGTTGTCAGGCTGGCAAGCACCTTTACCCACTGAGCCATCTTCCTGGTCCCCAATTTTTTATTTTAAACTTGGAAACTACAAGAGAAAATCTTACCTCTAGGAAATCATTGCTAACATTTAGCTTGTTTCCCTGCATATTTAAAAAAAAAAAAAAACAGATCATCACTTTTATACAATATTGGCTTTACTATTTATTTTTTTTATTTTTGGTTTTCTAAGACAGGGTTTTACCATGTAGCCCAGGCTGACCTTGAACTCAGGATCCTCCTGCCTCTACCTACCTGGGGCTGGGACTATAGGTATGTGCCAGTACACACTGCCTGTGTTAGTATTTCTTGATGCCACTGTTGTCCTACCTTCCCCCATGCTCCCTACTCAAATGTCTCCTGTTTTCTAATCCACTTACAGTAATGACCTTTGTAAGGAGATGCAATCCCTGTAAGGAATATGTCATTCCGTCCTTTCTAATTGTTAACCAAAGAAATAACAGTGTTGTTTTTCTTCCTCAACGTAGAGAAGTCATTCAGAATTCCAAAGAAGTGCTGAGTTTGTTGCAAGAAAAAAACCCCGCCTTTAAGCCGGTGCTTGCTATTATTCAGGTAAGCTGTAAATGAGGTACAGTCCTATTGTTTTAAGATGCAGCTTAGAAAACAAATATAAACGGAAACCAGATGTATTTCTTGTTGAAGATGAGCAGGCTCGGTGGCAAGTGCTGTGGTGTGGAGCTTGCCTGTGCAGGGATGCAGGTTAGATACTGGCCTCCTGGAGTCAGTCTGAGGTGTGGGTGGCTTCCAGAGGTTGGGGGGCAGGTACCCACTTAAATCACACAGAATAGATAGTAGCCCACATGCGCTTAAACTTCTCAAATGACTTATAAGTAATAGGATGAGAGTTCTCTCTTATTTCTGGGGAAGACAAATGCTGGATGCACTCAGTGCTCTGTAATCTTACTCTTTTACGGCCTGAGTGTCAAAAGTCTTTAGTGTGTCAAAGGACTTTGCATTCCATGTACAGTTTTGGCTGCAGCCCCTAAGCTGCAGTTGGCATTGCATGCTGTTGTTATTGGCATCTCTCTGTGATGGCAGGTGCAGGGAAATAATGGGGCCAGCCCGGCCTGGAAGCTGCCATGCCCTGGTAGTTGGCCTGTTCTATCCGTGCTTGGCAGGCTGCTGGTGTATCAGAATAGAGGCTACAAGGGTGTTTGTGCTTTAGTTTGTAAGACTGTATGGCTTTGCCCATGTGAACTGTTGGGGGTACAGCTCTTGGGGGTACCCCCATATCCCAATGCAGCAAGGGAAAGGGTTTGGGGACTTGGGCTTCCTGGGAATCTGGTTGTATATTGACTTTCCACCTAAGTACAAATCCTGTCTTTGGTTTCGCACACAGAGGGAGGCTGGCTGTTTAGTGAGGATGTCTGTCTTCTATGCCTTATAATATATAATCTGTCATTTCTTAAATGATATAATTTGAAAGTCTAAGAAATTAGCATATACTTAAATCCCATCTGTTAACCCAATTTTTGCAGTAATAGAGTCTTTTCTGTATTTTCCCATATCATCTTTGTATTTTGGTTCATTGTACTCACCGTATTTGCAAATGTAGTCCCTGTGTTGTATTTGGTAGTATGTCAAGGTATTTTCATACTGTTCATCCCCCTCCCTCCTCTCCCCTTAGGCAGGCAATGACAACTTGATGCAGGAAATAAACCAGAATTTGGCCGAGGAGGTGAGAACTGGTGATTTTAACAATTTGTGAGAATTCCTAACAGTATATTATGTCATGGTGACAGAGAATCTTGTGTTCCCTTTCAGGCTGGTCTGAACATCACTCATGTCTGCCTTCCTCCCGATAGCAGCGAAGATGAGGTAATGTCAGCCGAGTTCATTTCCTTTTCTCTTCAGGTCTATGAGCATCTCCTAGGTGTGATAGGAGCAGGCCCCGCCTTTTCTTGTGGCTGATTTTCCCTGTGATGTAAATGCTCCTTGGTCACCTCTCTCCTTTCTGGTGGGTTTCTACTGAAGACATCCTAGGGCATTATGGTGATTGTGACTGTTTCAGCAGTGGCATTTAGTACAATTCTTGGGCTGAGTGTATCTAGGGACCTGCTCTGGTTTTGTTCTGTTCTGGCAACTTCTTTGACATTGGACCTTTCCCTTGGCATCTCAGGGTTTCCTTAGCCGTATTGATACAATGTAGGAACAGAACACCATGATCTTTATGAGGCCTCTCTAGGCTTAACATTCCGGGACTCCTTCATTGGCATAGGTAGAACCCCCATGCTGTTCCCTTAGCCCTAGTTATATCTGCCAGCATCCTTCCCCAGTATCATTTCAAGTGTGGGTGATACAGTCCCCATAATCGGTGGTAACAGAACTGGACCGTGTACCAGATTATGGCCCCAGGGCTGAGGCCTGAGCTTTCTGTGGCTAATGTTCCTCTAGCTGACTGTGGCAGAGAGGAGTGGGTTAAGATTCCTGGAATAGAAAATCTGATGGCTATGAAAATGGTCCTGGCACTGGTCAGGTAAGGAGGATGTCAAAACTTTCAGAGGAGAAGAAGGCTAGCTTCACAGTGTACCAGCGGATGCTGTGTTGGACTTGGATGGCAGGACTTGCTGTTGAACCCAGAGCTCGGTGCATGCCAGGCCACACCACTGAGCTTCATCCTCAACCCAAGACTCTTCAGCTAATTCGTGAAGAATGAATTGCATTGAACAGGATAAGCTGGGTCAAGCATTCGAAGACAGTTTTGAGGTGCTGAGGCAGCACTCAACTGGAGACCGTCAGTATTCCCCAGAATATAAAAATTGCCTTGCTTTCTTTAACCAGCGTTCTTACATCAGAGACCATTCCAACTGCTGTGGAATGTTTTCTATAGAGGACCTCATCTATAACTGGAGTATAGTTAAGTATCTTTAGCAAAAGACCAACTGCTCTGTGTGGAGAATGATCCACAATAGCCATGTTTTTTGGTTTCAAATGAGTGAGTTTACTAAGTATGGAGCAAGCAGGAGTTAAGAATAGAAGAACACACAGCAGATGACAGAACGTCATCAGATCAGACACAGCCTCTGGCAGAAATCCATTGGGAAGCTCTGAAAACCGCAACAAACCACACAAACAAAACCCAGCCATCCGGAGCCCCTGGTAGACAAAGCCCCATGCAGGATATCCAGAACAGTACTGCAGACATGTGCTTGGAAGAAAATATTCAACTTCAGAGCATACCTGAAAACCAGTTCATACAACCGTCCCTTTTCCAGAAAAAGGAGGAAAAAGCAGGAGGAAGCTGTGGTGCTTTGAATACCTTTACAAATCCCTGTGCAGTCCTGAGATGGCATCTTGCATTCAGTGGGTTGACAGAATCAAAGGCATCTTTCAGTTTATATCAAAAAAATAAAGAAAAATTTGCCGAACTTTGGGGAAAAAGAAAAGGCAACCGGAAGACCATGACTTACCAGAAGATGGCCAGAGCCCTGAGGAATTATGCCAGGACTGGGGAGATCACCAAAATCCGGAGAAAGCTGACCTCCAGTTCAGTGAGGCCGTTCTCCAGAGGCTCTGTCCATATCACTTCCTGGGGAAAGACCTTTTGTACTCACAGTGTGTACAGCCTGATCCCTGGTGCCTTGGTTTTAACCACTGGAATGCAGGCTACTACCCTTGTGCCAATGGCCACACTCTGACCCACCCCAACTGCTAATGGCACTCCAGATTCTCTTGCCTTCCTAGCCATAGAAAACCCTAAGCTTTAAGATTCTCGTTATGCAAACAGTTGCCCTCCATAGCTACAGCTCCAATCCATCTGGATTCAGCCACCTGGGAATCAAAAAAATATTAGGGAAAAATATCTATACTGGCCAGAGTTTAGTTCTTGTCATGACAATTTTTAGATTGTGTTTACATTATATCAATGTTAAAAGGAATCTAAGGGCAATTTAAAATGTTTGAGAAGGATGTTATTTTCCTAGGTTATCCTGCAGATACTTGTTTTTGAAACAAGGTCTTACTATGTAGACTAAGCTGTCTTGGAACCTGCCTCTGCCTTCTCAGTGCTGGGATTAAAGGCATACACTGCTACACCTGGCTTAACCTTGCCTTTTTTTTTTTTTTTTTTTTTTTTTTTTTGTCTTTTTGAGACAGGGTCTCCTTGTAGCCCCAGCTGTCCTGGAACTCACTATGTAGACCAGGCTGGCCTCGAACTCACAAAGATCCGCCTGCCTCTGCCTTCTAAGTGCTGGGATTAAAGGTGTGCACCACCACACCTGGCTACCTTGCTTTTTTTAAAAAGAGGACTTGAGCATCCATGGATTTTGGTATCCAAAGACACCCTCCCAAAAGATACTGAGGGGGAACTGCACTGAAGAGGAAAACTCCAGTTAACATCCTTGCTGCTTCTGCCGAATAGTGTGCACTATAATAGCCTAGTTTTAGCAATACTTTTATTTCAAACTATCAGAGTTGAAAACACAGACTGAATGCCCTTGCCCTTACCATTGGTTATGCAGATACCTTCTAGAGTATGTCACTTGGATGATTTTATAGATTTTCTAGGTATCCCAGGCTGGCCTCAAATTCATGGAATAATAGGAATATGCCACCACCAGGCTTATATAGATTTAAACCCTTTCTTGTCATGCACTCAGGTAGAAAGTCACTCTTAACATAATACTCAATAGTGTTACAAAATTTATAAAACAGTGACTGAGAATGATACAGGGTTATGCCAAAAGATGTTCAAGGTTTTAAAAACTATGGTGGATTGCTATCTTTGAATTGCTGTCTTTGATAATATCTAATATAATAGGTTGTTCATTATGGCTTTAAAAAAAAAGATTTCTGGAATAGAAAACCCTAAGTCACAAAATCTAGAATAACAGAGTTGTTTATTTCTTATACATGAATAATCTTTGGGAATCAACAGTCACTGGCTAGGCTTGTCAAAGTCATAAGAGGACCCACCTCTTCCTTTGCACTGTTCTAACATCTCTGGTGTTCTGTCAAGTCCAAGATGGTGGAGTTAGCACCACTGTCATATCCACATTCTAGCCAGGGTCAAAGAGCAACTCCAGAGTTGATAAGGGGAGTTCTTCAAAAGAAATACAGATAGAAACTATTAGGAAGACACCCAACAGCTGCCAGAGACTGCAGGTAGTACAGACCCTGCAGCACTGTGTGGCTTCTCTGGCGTATCTGAATTACCAACCTTGCTATTCTCATGCTTAGGGGCTGTTATTCAGTGAAACAAAGTTACTTAAACACAAACAGTATGATGCTACCACACTACTAAGTGGACTAAGGAATAACATACACAAGTGTGGACTTGCTAGACAGAGAGCTAATTCATGTGTGGATGGCACTGGATCTCACTGTGTGACTTCGAGAGGTGTACAATTTCAAACTAATGAATTGTTTATTTCTGGAACTTTGCCTTGAGTGCTTTTGTATCTGGTTGATGAGACTAACTGAAACCTTGGAGAGTGAAACCCTGGGTAACCCACTGACCCCTTCAGGGTTGAGCAGAAGATTTTCTTTTCTAGGGTGTGAGGAATAGGCTGAAGGAGTAGCTTGATGGAGAAACAGATCAGAGAACCAGTTGCTCCCAAGGCCGTCCTGAGGGTGGCCCAAAGTTCAGGCATCTGGAGGAAGAGATGCTTGACCATAGTTTGCTTTTAAAAGCATTTTGATTTGTTTGGTCGGTGGGAACAAACAGTTCAGCCAGTCATTGATAAAATGGAATGTGCTTTTTTGATTTATTTATTTTTATGTGTATGATGGTATTGCCTGCATGTATATAAGTATACCAAGTGCCTGCAAATGCTGGGAAGCCAGAAGAGGGCATCAGATCCCTTGGAACTGGAGTTCCAGATGGTTGTTAGTGGCCATGTGGGTGCTAGGAATCAAAACTGGGTCCTCTGGAAAAGCAGCCATTGCTCTTAACCACTGAGCCATCTCTCCAGCCCCTGGAATGTGCTTTTGCGATCTGTGCCTTACTGTGCCTTTAGTAAACTGTCTTAAATTGTGGCTCTCATCCAGGTCCTGTGGGGAAAGGCAATTCTTTACATGGAGGTTGAGGGTGAGAGTCTTAACCTTCCCTCTTCTCCCAGGATCACTGAACATGAAGTTCAGTGTTGTCACTAGTAAGGAGAAGGATGAAGATAGGCTCCTACGCTCTTCCCTTTAGATGTTCCTGAAAGCCACAATTCTGCTCCCTTTCCATTGGCTGCAACTGTGTTGCCTGGCCAAATGCAAAGCAGGCTGGGAAATGTAGCCTTTGTCCCAGGAGGCCTTAGATCATTACTAACAAAAAAGGAAAGCAAGATATCAGACAGTTTATGTCACATTTGCCAATCGGCCCAGGAAAATAGATTCAGATTATTACAAATATGATGTCCCAGTGTGGTAACGATTTCATGAATTCTTTATAGTAACAGAACAAAGAAAGTAATAAATCAAGGCTCTGTTAAAGTCTCTTGGTGAAAACATTGGGTATATGGGTCACAGCAAAGCGCAAATCTCTGCTATAGGCCTCAGTTGCTATCTCGTGACATGTTTAAGGCCTTTGAGTTGGTGGAAGCTAGTGATTTATTTTATTACATTCCAAAGAATTTCACTAGTAGTCAGAAGAATGCTAGGTTAAACACAGAGGTGGGCACTGAATTGCTACTATTAAGGGGACTAGAGATAGCCCAAGATAATTTATCTTAAATCTGCAACATTCCAACTTTGCACAACCGTGAAAGGCTAAGTATTCAGCCTCGTACAATCTTTCACATAGATTTAAATTTTTTCCGAGAACTTCAGTTCACAGCTGAATGAATGAGACAGACTTTTCTTTCTGCTCTGCTACACCAAGTAGCAGCTTCTTTCTTTGCCAGATAGTGATAATACCATACAGATTTTTGTTTGTTTCTCAAGACAGGATCTCCCTGTAGCCCCAGGTGGCCTGTTACTTCCTCTGTAGACAAGGCTGGCCTTGATCTCACAGAGAGCTTCCTGCTTCTGCCTCCAGAGTACTGGAATTACTACCGTAGAGATTTTTGCTAGGCGATAAAGCAATAATGGTACACCAATACTTCTCCAAGTGAGCTCCACATCCATGAGCTAGTCTTCCTACTCATGAGGCAGTGATCTTGTTATGTGAAGTGAATCCAAATCTGTGTGTGCTTGAGTTTCAATACTAAGCCTTTTGTTCTAGTTCGTTTCTCCATGCTGTGACAAAATACTCTGACCAATACCAACTTGGGGAGGAAAGGGTTTATTTTATCTTACATCTCCCAGGTCACAGTTCATCAGGGCAGGAACCTGGAAGCAGGAGCTGGAGCTCAGGCCATGGAGGAGGAACACTTCTTACTGGCTTGCTCCCCTGGCCCCTGCTCAGCCTGCTTTCTTATGCAACACGGGCCCACCTGCCCAGGGGTGGCACCACCCACTGTGGGCTAGGCCCTCCCACATCATTCAACAGTCAAGAAGATACCCCACAGACATGGCCACAGGCCAGTCCAATGGAGGCAATTCCCCAATTGAGGCTCCCTCAACCCAGGTTTGTAAAGTTGACACTAAAGCTATCCAGCACACCTTTGGAAAGGCTTCTGATGTGCCACTCAGATCCTATAAAGTAGAGGTCCTGGGTGACTGGTTGGGCATAGTGCTAGGAGAAACTTCTACTTGAGTGTGTGATATCTGAGGCCACAGGCTTCACTGGGCCAAGGTGGAGTACTTGGGGTGCATGCTTCCCAGCCTCCCTGAAAACTGGTCTGTGTCTAGGTTAAGATATGGTCATTGACAGGGAATTGTCTTTTGCCTACCTAAACCTTAGTGACTGTGGTGCTCTGTTTTGGTTTTGTTGTTGTTTTTCTGGCACAGGGTAGCACTATAAGAACCATGAAATCATGAAAGGTTTCATCAGAGTTCTTCAGGGCTGTGTAAACATGATGAAAAGAGGTAATAGAGTCTTCATTGTGCCTCACACCAGATACTTGAATGAGAAAACAGAAAGTAACAGATGTATTTCTAGGAATCTTGGTGTGTGTGTGGATGTGTGTACATGTGGGTGTAGGTACACACGCACACACGACCTCAGGTGCTGATCCTCAGGACCTGTCCACCTTGTTATTTTGAGATAAGGCTAGGCTGACTGGGAAGGCCATAGGAATCTGCTTGTCTGTCTCAGAGCCGGGATTATAAGCCTGTACCACTAATCCTAGCTTTATCCTAGCTTTTTTGTGTGGGTTCTGGGGCTCCAAGGGCATCAATTAGCAAGCACTTTACCAACTGGGCCATCTTCCCAGGCCTATGAACCTTTTTTTTTTGGTATAGACTCTTTTGCTAGCTCTTACTTTCACAAAACTAATGGGCTTTTGTTTTGTTTTGTTTAGATTATAGATGAAATCTTGAAGATTAATGAAGACACCAGAGTACATGGCCTTGCCCTTCAGATCTCTGTAGACTCATTTAGCAACAAAGTTCTCAATGCCTTGAAACCAGAAAAAGATGTGGATGGGTAAGAAAATATAAAAGAAAATAATCAATGTATGGTAAACTGACTATTGTGACTTTTTCTAAATTTTCCTAAAAATTTTTGCAACACTGTCAGTAATTTGCTAAAAACAGTTTAAAATATATCAAGAGTTTGAGAGCTTTTAAAATTCTATGTATAAAAGTTATTTGGAAATACATGTCTGGAAATAATCTTTTTCCACCATCATTCACGTAGCAAGTTGCTGTACCGAGTCTTTGCCCAGCAGTCCTCTCTAAATAATCTTCCCTGAGTGATTCCGCTAGATAGAGGGAAAAAACAAGACCAGGATCCTCAGCAGCACCATCATCTCCCTTACACCCAGGCCAGTTGAGGGGGGGGAAGGATATATTCTTATTAATTGTACATGGTTTTAATTAAAATTTGAGTTGGGGGAAGGAATTGTGAATGTTCATCAAGTGCCTTATGAGATGTTGATCACTGATTCAGGCCAGGGTATAGTGTAGGTATCACAACACAAAGAACACTGATGGCCCCCAGTAGGGAACAGTGTATTTCCTAGGAAAGTAAAAGCTTCATATTACTACATGAAAACATAGGAAATGCTTTTTACTATAGCTAAAGGAGCATGGGTATGAATTTAGGACTTCGAGGTTGTAAACAAATTTATAAAGTTAGACTTCCTGTCAAGTGTATTCTTCTGCAGCTGGATTAAGAAATTGGCACATCAAAATCAAAACAGAGAACTGGAAGCTTAGAGGAACCAGCATTTCATGCCCAAGAAGTAAACCACAAAGACACATAAAATTTACAAAAAGAATCAGACCTAAACATGAAGGCTTGAGTCTCACACAAAAAGAGAAACTACAAAAGAAATTCACATGTCAAAATCACAGAGAAAAAATAATAACATGAAAAACAAAAATAACATATCCCCACCAAATACCAATACTCCTCTAGAGGAGCACAATGAAAACCCCCTAGAGATAACGGAGGACATGGAACTCAAAAGAACAATTATAAACATGATAAAAGAATTCAGTGAATTTAAAGAACACACAAA